CCACGGCATGACATGACGGTCTAGTCATCGGGAAAACTGCCTTGTTACCGCTGTCAAGCCGGTGGCACTCTGTCGGGAATCGAGATGTGCGACGGGACGAACGATGGGGTCTTCATCCGTAACCCTGGTCGACAGCAGGCCAGACTAGACCAGACCAGGGCATGGCATGGCATGTTTGAACCGTTGCATCGCGTAGGTAAGTGAGCAGCAAGACCTGGCATGCTGTCTAAAAAAGCATGCAGCAGAATGCTGCGTAACTCGTCTCGCTCGAGGGGAAATGCAGAGGTAGCGGGATTGAGACACGCCGGTTGATTCGTGAACCGGGGTGAGAGAAAGAAAACGTTCAGGTGCTAGTGTGGGGGGTTGAGCGGAGACCTATCGGATGGAGAGTTGCGGTGAGGCTGGCGGTATGTCCCGGTGAGGTCAAGGTGCGATTGGCTGGAATGGATGAAGGATGGATGGTTGAATGAATGAATGGTCGCAGGCTTCTGATGTTTGTTCGTGGGGCGGCAAGGAAGGTGGTTGTGGCCAGCTCAAAGTCTGCAACGGTCGGTACGCATATTGGATGGATGGAGGTGAGCGAGGTGAGTGGTGAGTTCGGAGAAGGCAAGGTGTGGAGGCCACATTGAGGCCCGAGATTGCAGTTTGTTAGACTTGAGTGAGATAAAATTGAGTTGGAGCAACCAATGAGTGGTGGTTGAGCGGAAACAACGATTCCTAAGGAGCGAGGTTGTAAGTGTAGAGTGTGATCTGTTGACGATGTTGGGCCGTTGATGTCCGACTAAGGTGCGGATAATTAGAAGCCAAACCAGACGATTGGCTCCGTGGCGGTGGGGTCCGAATTGACGGTCCCCGATTGTTTCCAGTTGTCAGTTGCGACATTGATTGGGCTTTTGGGCTTCGAGGTGGACGACTCAGCTACCCGATCCTGATGCTCGGTGGGCGGAGCCGTGGGAAGCGGGCGGGCGGGATGATGGCTGGCTGTTTTGAGTGCTGAAAAAGGACGCGTTGTATGAATCCATGAGATGAGGAGGCATGATGCAGCCAGCACAGTGCAGTGCAGTTGAGTTGCAGCGCAGCACACGCAGCGGAGAGCAATGGAAATCTGCTGAGCGAGACACAGACAATTGGGAGGCAGGAGTCGGGGGCAGGGACCGGAGAGGGTCCACGTGGTGCGCATGACATGAGCTTCCTGCCATTGCTGGCCTTGATGGACCAGGACATGGAGGCAGGCAGATGCAAGACGCAGGCCAGGGCTTTTTGCATCGTCAGAGGCGCTTGTTTTTTTTTTTTTCCTTTCCTCTCCTCGCCGGTTGTCACGAGGTGGCCCTGCCAGTCGCACTCTGCTGTGTCCAAGAGGCACGGCACGGGATGGAAACTGGGCTTGCCCGCAACGTCGAGGATCCAAACGATGGCTTGAACGGATCGCGTAGCTCTTCGGGCCTGCCACACTTCTCCGTAGGTGGACAAATTGACAAACCCGCACATGCCAAGGGACGGGCAGTGCCTAAATGCTCCTCAGCCGAGACACCGAGATCAGACGTACACACCATCTCTGGTCGGTGAGCGTGTGCCCATTGGCATCTTTGGATGTTGTTGAAGATCATCGGCCGGGCCGTGTCCGTCAAGCTGATATGATGCGACTCCATGAGATTGACGCCTTGTCGTTGGTGTAATGTACTCGGTAGGTAGGTGCCGCTGGCATCAGGCGTCTCATCTGCGAGAGTGCCCGAAACACCTGTCGACATTATGCGCATCGCTTCGCATCTCTCGGAGCAAGTCGCTGTCGCTCTCGTCCATTGCCGAGTTATGTCCTCCTCTAATAAGAGAACCATCCGGATGCCGCCATGGCTGCTTGTCTCTGTCAGTTCCCAAGCGAGGCCTGCTTGTTCCGATCCATCCCATGCAGCTTCATAACAAGTAGGTGACAGGCCGGCCTTGACCCATGAGAACTTGGGGGCCACCGTTACATGTTCAAGTTGAACCGAGCGAACCAGTTGAAGGTAACCCGAAACCCCATAATTCTTTGCTCGATTCAAGCATCTCGTTAAGATCTGAAGTGGATCGCGGGGAGGAAGGGGAAAAGACACAGAACGAGACGAGACGAGAGGAAACAGTAAACGCCGAAGCATACCTTACCAAGTTGAACCAAAAAAACAAAAAGTAAGAAGGTCGGAGGAATAGCGGCGGTCTACCGGCAAGGAATGCCGCCAAAAGTCAGGACCGGTCCTGGTGAGTTCTGACTTCTCACCTGCCAAACGCGACGCTTCACCGTCGACAGAAGTCACTTCCCTGCAGAAGAACAGCACCGGTGTACATAGCCGCCTCCACTGCCCTCGTGCCATGAAAGGAAGACACCCGACTTCAGGTCCAGTGGAAGGTGGAAGGTGGAAGGAGGTACCTGCCTACCCTAGCTTACCTAGGTAGGAGACCCCGCCCGGTGCAGCGCAGCGCAGCGAGCAGGTGCAGCCCGTGGACCGTGGTCATCCCACTCAACTCACCTTGCACCTTCCCACCTTTTGCAGAATGGCGCGTGAGTGTGGATTGTGGATGAGGGAGGTGACCACTAAACAATCACGGTCGGCCACCCTAGACCCTTTCCTCCTGCCCAAGCCGCTTCTTTTTTTCCCCTCCTTCCCCTCCAAGGGTTAGAAAATTTTAAACGGTGCCGGGTCAAGCGCTCCGCTGGGCCTGACAAGAGGAAGAAAGAAAGAAAGAGAGAAAGGAAGAGGGAGGAAAGCAATGCAGCAGCAACGGCAGCATGTACTCGAGATACTCGGGTCGTCAATCGCAGGTGCAGCTGCGCCTCGGCCGCGGCACGGGGCGGGTGCGGCTTCCCTTTGCCGTTGCTCTTGGGCACCTCGATCCCATGCCTTCTTACCTTGCCTTACCTTACCTACCTTACCTTAGTTGACCGTGGTGTCCTTCGTACATAACGTATCCCCCAACGGCAAATGCGTTCTGAGAACGGTGCAGGTGGATTGGCTAGGTTAAAGTGTAGTGCATTGCCTTGGGCTGGGCCGGGCTGCTTCTCGGGCTGGGTCGTGTAACCTTGCAACCTCTTCCTTGCCCAAAGACTTCTAGGCCGTTGCTCCCTCTATCTATCCAGTTGCTTTTTCATCATGAGTGTCGGTATCATTGCCTCCTCTTCATGAACATCAGTAAGCCAGTCAAAGTCCCGGCCCTTATTGCACAACTCATATTGCATCATGCCTCTTGGAACTTAGAAGCATCTGTTTGCTGTCCAGCCTGAGCAGGGAAGAAGCCCAGAGACTCAAGGTGAGGAAAACCTTACCTGAAGAAGAAAGGACGAAAGGACTAACAGACGCAATGCTGGGAAGAGGAGTCCAAGTCCCAGTCCCCATTCCGATACCCACAATCCATTGGATTACAACCCAATTGTCTGCCCTGCAACCGCAGAGTGAAAGCACGAGGACCAGGGACTCTGCGGGGAATCTGTCTGGCTCTTGGTCTCAGCAAGCTCGACGACAGTAATAAGCAACGAGCATCGCAGTAGTCGCAGAAACAACACCAACGCTTTTCCGAGCCACGAGAGACGAAAGACAGAAAAGTCTGACAGAAAGTCAAGGAAAGCAACAAGACCCGACAACGGCGGATTAGTCCAAGACACGACGCAGACCCGCTCCATAAAGTCGCCATCTCTGGACACTTCCGTCGAATCATCAGCATCTCAGTCAGAAACCCAGACCCAAGAACCCAGAACCCAGGATACACAAACAACCCAGACCCCTGCCTTCACCTTTCACCCTCACTCTCACTCACAGTCTTTTGTCTCTGTTTCCCTCCCACCTGTTGCTCCCGTTGTCCATTGCCCCAGCGTGAGAGGTTCACCTTTTTACCGACCCGACATCCATCTTCCTTGTCCGCGTCTGTGTCTCTCACTACCACCCAAGAGGTGCTGTGACCACACCCAATTCGCGCCCCCCGTCGTCACCCTCGTCTCCGTCCCCGTCCCGGCCTGGGCTGACCGGTACCTGGCCCGAAGTACCTATCTTCCGAGCCTTTGCTCCTCGCCATCACTACTACGGTCTACCTACTTGCCGGTGGGAACACTCTCAGCTGGCTACTTTCCTGGCGTACGATAATCCTCACTCACGTACCTTACGCGGATACTTTCTCCATTTCTCCTAGAGAAAGAAAGAGCAAGCGACAGAAAGACGGGACCTACCTAACCTACCTTACCTTACCTTACCTTTCCTTAGCACCTGCCCAGGGTCGCTCCTGCCTTCCTTGCCTCCTTCACCGTGGTTGGCTGGCCTGTGCTTCGTTCGCTCTTTCCCTCTCCGGTACTCGGTGCACGTCCCGGTCCTCTGTGCTGTACATCCCGGGGCAGTACCTACCTTACCTACTGGACGGATACCTTACCTTCCTCACCTAACCATCTTCGTACCTGCGGTACCTACATACCTACCCTTAAATCCTGACCGACCGACCTTATTTTTTATTCGCGGTCCTTGGCCTCGGCCCTCTTCCTCCCACCTTCACACACCTGAAGATCGAATTGAGACGGCCTTCCACCGAAACCAAATTCCCATCTTGTCTATCTTTAACTTCCACGGTCACTGCGGTGCACTCCCCTTGGTTTCTGGCCCTCAATTGCCCTCCCACGGCCTCGGCGCATTCAGTCTCTGTTGGGTTGCTCCCCGCCTCCCAGGACCCGTTTCTTTTACCCCTCACTTTTTCTCTGCTCGCGACCTCGCGTCGGTGAATCTCGGTGGGGCACATCACACAATCTGCCCGACATCGATTCACAGGGCACAAAGAAAAGCCGCGTGAGAGAGAGGAAACAGGACTACTCGCTCTGGCTGAGTGGGATAGAGAGCCGCGCCGGGGATTTACTTCTCTTGCCACCCCGTCGTCTTCTTAATTTCTTTTTTTTTATCCGCCACACGCTCCTACGCCGCAACCACCGCACACCGAGAATGGGTCGAGGGTAGTTGCTGCTGTGACAAAGGGACAAGAAAACACATTTGGCAAGCATGCATCCGGCTCCGAGTCTGGTAGAAGCGCCTCCGAAGAACGGCAGTGAGGAGTCTGGAAACAGACCCCAAACCGCATCGCCTTCAATGTCGCAACATGAATTGCCCCAGTCGGCACAGACTCCGGCGCAACAACAACCGCAGCCGCAACCGCAGCCCTCGCCGCCGCCGCCTCAACAGCAGCAGGCTCAGCAGCAGACTACTCCTCAGCAGCAGCAACCTCAACTCCCTCCGCCGACCCCAGGCCAGTCGGCCTCTCCTCCATTGAGGAAGGACACCAACTCGTCCATCTCAACTCAGGCTACCGCGGCCTCTGCTGCTAGCAACATGTCCGCGGAAACAAACAACACATCGTACAGTGCCGACACCTCTCCTAACTTAACATCCATATTCCATGTCAAGGATGGCTCCGACGTCTCTAACCGGGTCCGCGCGAGCAGGAGGCGAACCGGTCCTTTGTCCCAGCAACAGAGAGAGAAAGCCGCCCTCATTAGAAAGCTCGGCGCGTGTAATGACTGCCGCCGCAGGAGAGTTGCTGTAAGTTATTTTACTGCTCGTCACTCTCATATCGTGTATATCGAGTTGCTCTTCCCTGCTGACAAAACCGTGCCTTTTAAGTGTCATCCCAGCCATCACAACATGACCTGGGAGGATGCCGTCCGAAAATATCACAGGTCTCACAGCCCTACCATTCAGGACATTGCTCCTTCTCTGTCTGCTCAACGGCCCCTTAGTCCTGCGCCTCTCATGAACAGTGTGAAGCCGATGTATCCTCAGGACGCACAGGACATGATGGAAATCGACTCGCCGACGCCGCCAGGACAGCACCGACTGAGTGAATCTCGCATCCGCACGCCGTTGCCGTCGGGCCCGCGCCTGGACAAGCCGCCGATGCTCCCAGGCATCGAAAGCCTGAAGTCTGACCTACAGACTAACGTTTCGAGGATTCTCTCCACCCCCAGCCGTAGTCGCTACTCCAGTGCGCAGGCATTGCTGCTGTACTGGCAGGATGACCCTGATCTCAGTGTCGGAAGCTCGGTCAAAGAGCTTAGCGAAGTCCTCGACCAGTACTACCGATATACGTTTTCAATCTCCCCTATTCCGTCTTCATCCGAGGCTTGTAAAAACCCATGGAGATGGCTTTCACGGAAGATTACAGACTTTGTGGAAGATCGCGACCAGCGCGATGTCTTAAAGATTGTCTATTACAACGGCCATTCATACCTGGATGGCAACCGGGAGATGGTTCTTGCCAGGTGAGTTCCCTGTGTGTGGGTCTTGAGTGATTGCCAACAACCTCCAGCTCCAAGGATGTGGAAAAGGCCGAGACGATCCGGTGGAGCGGCATCCAACAGGTTTTGGAAGAGGCCTGCTCAGATACCCTAATCATCATGGATGCCGCGTTCTTCCCATCTTCCAAGATGCACCGTCAACAAGGTGTCTTGGAGTTGATCGCTGCGGCAGTGTCCGAGGAACATTTCGACGCCCTCGATCGTTGTACTTTCACCAAAGTTCTCACTGAGCACCTGAAGACGCGTGCTTCCCAACGCTATGCGAATCCATTCTCGGCAGCCGAGCTTCACTCAAAGCTGCTTTCGAACTACCCGTCCCTCGTCCAGGACAGAAGTCCGGAAAAGGAGACTATCACGAGCTTTCCCTCACCTCTCCACATGCAAATGTCTGGTAATGCCCGTTTGCCGTCGATTCTCCTGGCTCCGCTCAACATCGGCCCTATGAGGTCGAGTCTGCCCTTCGGCACAGAGGGTCAGCAACTTGTTCTGTCGATTCGGATCGGAGATGACCCCATTGATGTTGATGATTGGACCGAGTGGTTGAGAATGATGCCAGATGGTATCAAGGATGTGAGGGTTGACGGTCCTTACCGACCGGCGAGGTAGTCTACGGACAGCAGTGACAGACCTTTGGAAAGGCACTGCTCGCTAGGCAACTTTTGCTGTCGCTTCATACGTTTACGAGGCGGTTGGTCTTGGCCATAATGACCACTGAAGCGGGCAATGGGGGTCGGTGCAGCTGAGAAGATGGGAAGTTTCATCAGCTTCAGCTGCGTCTCTCCGGCACCCTTGCCGCCTATCCTCGCCCACCTCGACTTCGCGCGCTTATCCGCTATTGGCAGCTATCATGCGTAATGACTATATCATGACACGGCATCACCAGCCGCTCGACAGGTGGAGCAGGCGAAGAGTGTACAAATACGCCGGAGGAGAAAGCCAACGAATCATACATCATGTCACATTTTTACTTTGAGGTGTTTGTCTCGCAAGCGAGGAGTGCAAACGGATACGGGGGACTGGGGAGCATACAGGGTGGCGTCACGTTGGCATTCGCGGCGTCAAGATGCATGGTCTTTTCCTGTCATGAAAGAAGCTTTGCATTAGTGGATATCCCCCAACTCGCTTTAAAGACCGCACTTCTCTCTTCCTCTCGTCTCCAGTTTTCCCCTTCCTGTCTGTCATGATGTGGTTCGTGATGTAATGCTAATGACGGCCGTTCCAGTTTCTAAGCGTCCTAACTCCATTCAACGGAGATTGCCTGTGACGAAAAAGTTTCATACACGAAAAGGTTGTGGTATCAAAAAAAAAAAAAAAAGAAAGTTGTTTTTCCAAACGTTCACATCTCTCAAATAGCCAAGATCATGGCCGCAGCAGCACTGATCAAACCAGCCCAGAAGCTGCCGCTCGCCTTGGCGGCAGGGCTGTTGGCCTCGACGTTGCCGATGATGAAGCCGGGCTCGTAGCTCGCGTCGCGGGTGTCGAGGGTGCCGTTCCAGCAGTACTTTGTGAAGCACGAGGCGCACGCGTCCGGGACGGTCTCCCTGTTGCGCGCCATGCTCCGCGAGAGCATCGCGCAGGCGACGCAGCGGGGCCATTCGGAGTCGAGGGTGGCGTTGCCCTGGGTGGCGGAGTCGTAGCCGTTCTGGATGATGGCGTCGCGCTGGGAGGTCTTGTAGGAGGGGTCGAAGGTGGAGACGTTGGAGTGGGCGACGTAGGGCGCGTTGGGGAGGTAGACGACCAGCGGTGGCACGCGCTGGTTTGCGGAGAGGGAGAAATTGGAGGCGTTGCAGCCGAAGAAGGTCGGGCGCTTGTTGAGGCCGAGGTTGATGAAGGTGTTGGCGTCCGGGACGGGCGGGAAGAGGGTGCCGTTTGCGATGGGCTCGGCGACGCGGTCGTAGGAGGCGCGGAGGGCGGTGCCGTTGGGCCAGTTGAAGTTTGTGTCGGCGGAGGAGTCGACGGCGAAGATTACGTCGACGGCGCGCTCGGGCTGGATGAGCGGGTGGAGGGGGATGTTCTGGAGGTCCTCGCCGCCGTCGACGAGGGAGAGCTGAGACTCCTTGGCGTTGATGTTGGTGGAGGGGTTCCAGCCGAAGAAGGGGTTGGGGACGTATTGAGCGATGTCGTTGTTGTCCTTGTCGAGGGCGTTGAGGAGGGAGGTGAGGGCGGACTGGATGAAGTCGGGGATGCCGGTGGAGGTGAGGTTCTGGAGCATGAACTGGTTGAAGAGGGAGGAGGAGGTGCCCATGACGAAGCCGGCCTGGTCGAAGCCGCGGACGCAGGAGCCGTTGGCGGGGACGGCGCCGCCGGAGAAGTTGGAGGCGAGGAACTCGAGGGGCGCGAAGCCGAAGGCGGTGGGGTCCCAGGTGCCGAGCTCGAAGGGGTTGAACTCGTAGACGGTGGCGTTGAGAGAGATGATGCGCTCGCCGGGGGCGCGGCCGTCGGCGACGAGGATGGGGAAGGGCTGGGCGCCGGACTGGAAGTCGGGGGTGTCGGCGATGGAGGAGAAGGTGTACGAGGGCCCGCCGTCGGTGGCGTTGATGAGCTGGTACGAGAGGGCGCGGCCCCAGTAGTCGGTGATGGAGACCTCGAAGCCCTTGTCCTTGCTGTCGACCTGCTTGGCGACGGTGGCCCAGTAGTCTGCGGTGTTGAGGATGGAGATGCCGGACTCCTTGGGCCCTTGGAAGATGGAGCGGTCGAACTTCCAGACCGCGGAGCCTTGCGAGCCGCGCTGCAGGTCGACCACGGAGGAGAAGTTGTTGGAGTAGAGGGAGCCAACGAGCCAGCCGCCGCCGGAGAGTCCGGCGAGGTAGGTTGCGGACTGGAGGAGGCCGCCGATGCCGCCAGCGGCGGTGGAGTTGGGGGTGCGGGAGTCGGCGGCGGCGAGGAAGCCTGCGCCGTTCATGAGGGCGCGGTAGCCGCCTCCGGAGACGGCTAGGGCGACGTTGGGCAGCTGGGACGGCGAGGAGCGGACGCGGGAAATGTAGGACTGGGCGTCAAAGTTGGGGATGTTTGCGCGGGTGAGGAAGTCGAGCATGGGTTCTACGGTTGCGTTACGGCGGAGGGGCAGCCATGATGTCTCGTTTGGTGAGAGAGTTGCGGCGGAGCGGATTGTGGGACGGGCGGACGGGCAGTCGACGATGGCCGGGGCGTAGCCGCCGGAGGGCGAATCCGGGAGGGCGCGGGGGTCGACGGCACCGAAGGCGAGGCCGGCTGCCATTGGCTTGGCGGGATCGAGGGCCGCTGCTGTGGCTGTCAGAGCCAGCAGGGATGGGAGCAACATTTTGGAGCGTGTGAGATGATTCGCGCCTGGTGGAAGGGGGGTATCTGTGGTGTTCGAGGAGGGGTGATGAGTGAGCGTCCGTGTGAGAGCTGAAAGAAAAAAAGTGAAAAGAAGTTGATGTGAAATAAGGCAAGTGAAGGCCCCTGCAGAAGGAAGAAGAAGGATCGAAGGCAGCGAGAATTGGTAGAAGAAAGATGGAGATGTTCAGCAGTAATAATAGATTTCAATAGTTGTCACCCCCTAGGCGCATGGTGCAGCGGCAGTGCGGTGCGGACGGCTTCGATGGACGGGGATTGTGACCCTTCGGATCCTTCCACGGACCCGTCGCGCTAAGGAGAAGGTTTTTGATTTTTGGTGTCGGTCGGTATGACGTCGAATGTAGATGAGATTGAAGCTCGTCCGGTCTTCCTTGTCGGAGTGCGAGGGAGCCGCAGGTGCAAGCTCTGGGTTGGGTTTGCCTTCTGAATCCGAGAAGGGATGAGATGACCTTATGCTAGCCTATGCTTGGTTGCTTTCTCTCGCGCGGGCGAACGATGCGATTTGATCGGGGCCGAAGGTCCGTTTGGGTGTGTGTGAGTGAGTAGTTGTTGTGTGTTCCTTGTGGTGTGTGGATGTTGAGTGGGTGCTTTGATGAGTCGTCAAAACTCCGATGGATGAGCGGGCTAAGATGAGATTTTAAGCTCAAATGACACTCAGACTCGAGAGGGAATGACTGGCGAAGTTGGAGGAGGTTAAAATAGAGAGGTTTAGTTCAAAGTGATCATCAGGGTCCTTATTTCTCTTATTGCTGGCCGTCAAGCGAAGAATAGAGATAGTGAGACCCAATGTGTGACGGGGTAGACAGAAATGCAACTGCGGCTGCAGGGCAACCAGGCACCTCACGCGACAGTGGGCAGTGGAGTTTGCTGCTCCCAGGGGGCGATTAAGTGATTTGACCCTTCCAGTACGGTGAGAGAGGTTTCATGTGCGAACAGGCGAATGAGGGACGGGAGATGAGCAGCTCGTAAAAAGCCTGTGCTGCCGTGCTGGGCGTTTTCTGGGCAGCTGAAGGGGAGAGGATGAGATGGATGGGGTACGCGGAATTGTGGCTCTGTGAGCGAATGAGAAAAAGATCCCGGATCGCCCGGGTCGGGAGGGTCTAGTAGTGATGATGTGAGGCGAGGATCTTGCGAACAAGTCCCTTATTCGTACGTATGCAGTACGGGGGGATAAGGCTTCCTCGGTAATTTCGTTTTCGATACGGCGCCACACAACGAGCAAAAACGAAGGTCCACGGGAAAGGCGGCCTGGTAGAGCGGTCAAGTGGAGGAAGCTAAGTTCGGACTCGTGGCAATACGCGGAATGAACGGCAAGCTGAGGCAGTTCAGACGAAGGAGGAAATCAAGGTGAAGAGACGCATTAAAAGCCGACGGCGTGTTGGGTCCGGATGATGCAAGGAGACCACAGTGTAAGAAATTAGCATCCGAAAAGGAAACAAGAGGTCACCTCTACTGGCGGCTCTGGTGGGCGCGATGAGGTCAAGCGCCGAACCTGAAGACGGTGCTTGGTGATGGACCAGCTGGACAGCGACGGGGTTCCACGGTCTCGGGTGCGGCGTTTTATGAGACGGAACGTTGGTGAGGTTGGGTGTCCTTGTGCTCGTGCCTGTCCGTGTCTTTTCTGTCGCTGTCTCTCGTTCTCTTCGCATCGATGCAATGGAGAGAACGTCCAACAGAGTTCCGCCTTCAGGTGTCATTCCCTGATCCGGACAGGTGTGACAGGCGCGGAGCCGTGCTGCCCGCAGTTTTCGAACCTGTTCCAACGCTGTCTGTCTTTCTCACCTCGGCGCGTACCCGTATTCGTGCCCTTTGCAGCGTCGCAGCGATGGACGGGTGGATGTGCTGGATAAGACGAGACATTCGTTCGACACAGCAGGGCCAAGAGCGGTGCCTGGAATCGATCTGCGGGACAACGGAGCTGGCGGGGCTGGGCGTTTTCGTCTGTTGCCTGCGCCATCCGCGAAGCTGCTGACGGTGTGTGCCGCAGCAGCAAGACTGATTGACTTGGAGTGCTGGTGGTTGGTTGATTACTCGAAAGGCAGCTCACAGCCATTGAATCACTGTGTCAGCAACCGAGTTGAGCAGTATGACCAGATTCAGAGGCTGATGGTCATATGTGAACTGCAGTCAGCAACACACGTCGTTGGATCTCGCCCGAACAGAGTTGTCAAGCGCGTGCAGGTACTGCGGTAGATGCAAGTGTACTCTACTACTGGAGAGAGGATGGTGGTGACCACACTTTCGCACCCTCGCCTCGCCCTATCGCCTGCATGAGCCTCCCGCGGGCG